TAAATTCCCTTTTAGATATATTTTGTGTTAACATCATAAATCTTCATTTCCAATTATGTATTTCAATTTATACAACTGTAAAACAAAAAGTATTTTGTCTCTAGAGAACGTAGCTAATTAAAAGAAGAGGATACTGCTCTCAAACAACAGCAATTCTTCCAAATTCATTAAAAATGCCAAATTGTTCTATAAAGACATCTCTCGTAATTGCAGTGGTGCCTACCTGATCATAATCTTTAAAATTTTTATGATTAGTTCCAATGTTTAGTACAACTCCCCTCTTCACATGCGTTCAGTTTGCTGTCACATAAGTTTCCGAAATTTCTTCAAACCATAAACTATTAAAGCTGAGAACACTTATTTCTTTATGCTGTTATTTTATTTTTTTTTTTACAAAAGCACATACACGGGTGTTTTCTCTTTAAACCAGAAAAAGAAAAATTTCCTCATGTATATCCCTACTATATATTCTGCTCAGCACGTCACAGAAAAGCAAAATAATTAAAACCAATTAAGTCTTCTGTAAAAGAGAAGCTTAGTGTTATATCAAACTTCATATGTTGTGTATTTACAACATACATTAAGTAACTTTAACGTTGTCACTAGACAAGGAAGCTAAGGAACATTTCTTCCTTTCTTTTACACATGAAAAAGACTGTATTACATAGGTTCTTAATTCTTTTTTCACTCAAACATAAAGTCATATAACTTTAATGTAAAGGTAAATCTGTAAATTGTAATTACAATGTAATTGTAAACCTGTAAAAAATGTATAACTGGAATGTAAAGCCAAAATCTTGAAAACACAAACCATCTTCTAAATGTTTCCTTCATAAAATTAGCAAATTATACTTGAAATATGTTTAAAAATAATCTAATCCATGGTTACACCTTAAGAATTATAAAAGTCTTACAAAGTCATTACAGCAATTGAGGAAAAACTCAGGAGTGGGTGCAGTACTTACTCCCACACAGGCCAGGAATTACCCCACCTTCAAATACAGCCAATTAGCCTGAATTATACAGAATAAAACATTCCAAGCAGCAACACAGTCCTCCCTCTATTCCTTGCTCATGTGAAGTTATAACAGACATTCCGCATTGCCTGTCACTTATAATGGAGATGGTGGTAGCGTTACACATAATATCTAATACACAATTAATTCACAGCACCAGCTCCTTTGTTGAACAAATGGAAAGGATTAACAAAAAAATCTCAACATCTGTCAGAAGACAGGCCAGCAGGCAGGGTTTGTACAACAAATTCTGTGCAGGTGCGCCAAGCTGCTGTCCGCCTTGTGAGACCCAAGCTGGAGGGGGGCAGACAGGCCTGCCCCACCGCAACACAGAACCTGTATGTGAGTGCTGCTACTACAGTACTCAGGAAGCACTGACAGCAGCAGAAGTATGAGATTTCACTTTCAGAAATTTAAAATACGCTTACAGAGAGCTAGGCAGGTGGATCCAAGCCTGCTCTACCACCATTTCAAATCACACAAGCATGCCCTCATACAGGTCCAAACTCCATTAAGACTAGAACAAACAGCACTGCCCACAGGCTGGCCTAGCCCCACCATGAATTTATGTATCTTTTATGTTTTATATCTTTAAGGTATGTATTTTAGTGCAACTTAATAATACAAACCAAATAAAATCCTCATATAACTCACAGCTTTAAGAAACACAAACACAGCAATGTAAGTTTAGGTACATCTAGTTCTGGTTATGTACCACCATTCTAAGTTTGACATGTTAAATTCTCACGCTATTTTTGAACCACCACCTCAGCAGAGCTTTTAAACTTGCATACTTATCCCCTGGAAGTGTAAGCATTTATTAACAGTTATTTTCCTCACGTGACTGCAAACATTTGATCGCACACGTGCGGTTATGACGGAAAAGAGCTTAAGATAGACACTGCTGTATTTATGCTTTCTGAATAAGAGATAACAAGGTGCATTTTAAAGAGCTCATTTCAGGTCCGGTTAAAAATCAAATACTGCATTCAACTGGATTTGCATTCTAAGGCACAGGAATACTGTCCTATTTGTTGATACCTTTACCAAGGTATAGCAGGTTTACATAATGTAAACTGTAAGTTTTTATTCAACATTGAAAATTAAGAACAACAGATGTGGCTGGCCTGCAGCCATGGGACTCTGCAATCATATTTTAAATCCAAAAGGAAATGCAATTCTCACATAGAGATAAACAAATCCACTTGATTTCCCAGAGCTACGTGCTCTGTTCTACTTCCAGAGTTCTGTTTTAATCAGAAAAGATAAACTATAACCATTATTAGCTCATTTAATTATGGTAAAGAATTCCACATTTTAGACAAGGGGAAAAAAAAAACAAAACAACCAAACCCAAACCACTCAGTGTAACTGGATATTGTATCCAGTTTTTAAAAGACTAGAAATACTCAATTTTTTTTTTTTTTTTCCCCCAAAAGAAAATGCATCTGACAAAACCTTGGAAATATTTTTAGGAAATTTGGAAATCTCAGGTCTGATAAATGTAACTGCCTCAGAGAAATTATTTTTTTCTTTAAAATACTTCTGTATAGACAAAAACCACAAATAACACAAACCTGTCAAAAGTTTAGTCATCAGATGCAAACACCCAGTTATATATTCAACAAAAGAATTTTATAACACAAAGTGAAAATATAGAAATATTAATTTAATCAGTTGCTGGAAACTTTTCCCAGCCTTTTTTGGCATGTTAACCAAATCTGCAAAGTTATAATCACCTTGCTAGACCATTCCCTCTACACCACCCCACTTGTGGAAAAAGTGATGTAGTGCAGTGAACTAATCCTAACCATCCTTCACCATGCCATGAACGTTAGAGCAGAGCTATAAGGAAGCTCTCCTGTCAGCTCCAGCTAGTGGTGCAGTTAGAAGCCAATCAGGAGGGATAAGTTTCCCCCACAGAATAGCATACAGCCAGTTTAAGTCAATCCCAAATTAAGCAATATACAAATTTTTAGATAAAGCCTATGCAACATCATTGGAAAAGATAGATCAGTTATCCAAATAATTTCAGGTGTGTCAGAAAGAGTTGCTCTAGACATCATTTTACTCAAGGAATCAAGAAGAAAAGAAACAAAGAAACACTCTCCAGCTATCAACATCATAATGAAAGGCCTGAAAATCTTATGCAGAATAAGCTCAGATATAGCTGAACAGACTCTAGGACTTCTCTGCAGAGGAACTGGAAATACTGAGTTCCAGCAATCTCCTTCCTTTTCTGCCCAAGAGAGAGCAGGGAAATCAGCAGAAGAATCTCAACTAAACAGCCTCTGCAGTACAAATACCTGGTCAACCTGATGGAGGAGGAAGCTGCGGTAATTTAGTATCTCTCCCAGGCATGTTTGCCATGAGATAGCAGGTGAAGAAGGCAATGGATAGGCAAAAGTATCACACATGCTGCCAGTTCTTTCCCCTAATGCACACAACACCTGTAAGCTATGCAGGGCAGGGAAACATGTGCTTTGTGCAGGATTAGGCACTCAGGCCATGCAAAGGGCTTGGTAGCCTGCAGCCAGCCATCTTGCTCAGCAACCAAGAAAGACATTTACCAAGCTGTTGCAGTTTTCAATTACATTAACCACGCTAAGGGTAAGGCACTTTTCCCTGAATCCCACTAAGATTATCACATTGCATTTAACTGCTTACAAGAAACAGACAGGAAGAGTGACTGAATGAGAAAGTCACTGATGGAGGGAAACGGAGAAAGGCAGCAAGGGGATGAATGAACGAGACAGAAAGCAAGGAGAGGGCGAGATGCAGTTGGGGCAACTGTCTTCAGACTCAGTCCACTAAAGCTTCAGGAGTATGAAATACACATGGACCTTCACTCATGCAATACCTACAGCGAAGCTTAGGATCTCTGCAATTTGATGCACCAACAGTTACTCTTGTAATACACCACTGACATTACTCATGCCTTCAGAGAAAAACAGCTTGTCACTTTGCAAACTATGGCATAACCAACTGTGCAAAAATCTTTAAAAAGCAGGTATAATTGATCTTTTTTTGTAGCACTCTGCAAATACCCTACTGTCTCGGGTTTTGGGATCAGTGATTTACAGGGAATATAGGGAAGCAGCTGTCTTAAAAAAGAGCTACTTTTCACTTTACAGTTTTCCTCTAAACTTACCAACTGCCGCATATAATTACCATTGTGATATGCATCTAGAGCACCAAGGTCTTACTTCTCTTTAGAGTGGGAAAAAAAAAAGTGACAGTGTTCATTAAAAATGATACACAAGGGAGGTTCTGACTGGATATATGGAAGCATTTTCGCTAGGAGGATAATTAGGAATCTGAAGAGGCCGCACAGAGTGTTTGTGGAATGTCTGTTCCCAGGCATTTTCAAGATCTAGTGGGAAAAAGCCCTGAGCAACCTGCTCTAAAGTCAGTGTTGACCCTGGTTCGAGCAGCAAGTTGGTTAGACAACCTTCCAAACCTCAGCAATTCAATGGTTCTATAGTCTACTGTCAGATAAAAGGTATGAAGTTCCCTGAAAGTACTGCAGAGAAGCCCAAGAGTTTTCAAGAAAGTTCTCAAAATTAGATTTTTTTAAAAAATAATATCCATCAGGAATTTTGTCCAAAGTATCAGGTTGCTCTACTTATGCATGGTGCAATTAAATCAATGGTATGACTGAAAATCTTTTAGTAAAAGCACATTTATAATAAATTTATGAAGCAGATGCAAAAAAAAAGTTAGCAAAAGACAAATATCAAGTATCTACTTTTTAGAACATCCATTGTAAATAAGTGATGGCTTTCCACTGGATTTCTTTCATAAATTAACATAAAGTAACAGCATAATAATTTACGGGCAACATTCAATGTATTTCCGATTAACATCGTGTCCCTTCTTAAAAGCACACATATTTGTTAAAGCAAGACAATCCTCTGCGCAGCCCATAGAAGCAGATGCTCACACCCATGATGAGAGCACTCTGCACGCGCAACATGTCCTTACCTTGAGATTGGGTTTTGATAGGAGTTTCAACAGTTCTCTGATGTCACTGTTCGGTGGCTTGCTCTGCAGCTCCTCAGCCAGCTGGGTGAGAGATAGAATAGACACAAAAACCATTAGTAAAGCACTGTTTTACTCAATGCATCAGTGACAATCCAGAATCTATCTTATTCAAGGTTATTACTTTCCAACGTGTTCACATAGAAGCCAACATGAAGAAAAACACCACCAGTAACCACACTTCTTTTTCTGGCTCTCAGTGGACCAGATTTAAGCCAGGCCTTTTGGTTCAGTTTAACACAAGTAATCATTTCTGGCAAGGGTGCAGCCAGATCACATTCTGATTTATAGTGATGGGGGCAAATCCCAGCACTTCATTTAAGTGAATGGTCCTTTGCGTGCAGACAAAGGACTGCTTGTAAAAATGACTGGATCAAACTTTGACGCTGTCTATAAAAACCAGTTTCGAATGAGGTGGTGAAATCCACACTGCTTCCAAAAACCCACAGTAGCTGTGCTGTTTAGGACTGGGATAAGAAAGCAAAGTGCCCCTACAGTGCGAGCAATCTGAACCTTTTATTATGTTTACACATACACTGGAAGGAGCTTGTTAAACGTGAAACGAGTTAATCATAATACAGTTTATAACAGGTCATCAACAATTCAAGCCCCTAAAATGCACAAACTATGTCCTAACAACAAGATCATTAATTTATGTTTGGTTATACTACAGAATTGTGGTTTGGTGAACAATAGAGCAGCAGTCTAACATTTAATCCCATGGCTATTTGGCTCCTTTCTTGAGTTTTTCTTATCATGACATTCTCAACTAATTTGGACTCAAGAGGCATATTTTACTGCAGGATTTCAAACTCAAACTATTTTTCCAGAAGAAGGAAAAGCTAAAACATATTTCACAACACTGAACTTCAGTTTAAAATTCTGAAGCTACATGATTATAATCCAAAAAGTTATTTCAGATAATCATTTTCTTTGCATTAAATCAGTACCATAAAAACGTCTCAAAGAAAGTTGGCTACTTGCAGCAAGTAATTTTATTCATCTAGGCTACTTTCAAATTTGCGCTTTCATTTTGTATAAATTTTCAAGATAAATGGATATAAGTATACTTTGCATAATTATATATAATAGACAAATCTAGAAGTAAGTTTTTTTAACCTCCAAATTAGTACAGGGGTACCAGACCAAAACAAAAATTCATCACCTACAGTCCCATAGCCTTCTAACTATAACTCACAGCTAAAAACAGCCATCCAATACATCAATGCTAATCTTAACAGTATTTGGTCTTAACACAGAAAACAATCTCTGTAGGAAAGGTCAGAATGAAATATTTTAGGCACACAAAGCCAAGTATTGAGATAATCTGACTGCAAACTAGTCTGCATGCTCTATGAAAAAGCTCTGCAAAGCTGAAAATAAGCCATGACAGGAATGACAGCAGGTATATGACACATGTTCCCCTTTGTCCTCTTTTCATTTTTTAGCCTGTACTCCTCATCGCTAGAGAATAAAATCTATTAATTTGTATTTCATTGACAAAAACTAGCAATCACTCAGTAAAGATGGCTGCTTCAGCATTTCTCTCCCAGATGAATTGTACACATCTATTAACTTCAGCATCACTGGCATTTGCTTTGGTGCTGCAAATGTAAATACAGGTACTTAAGGTTTAGAGCAGTAAGAAACAAACAATATTTTGTTATTTCTTTAACTTTTTAATCTCATAATTTAAAGTATTTTTTCAGGGATAAAATAATTAAAAAAAATGTTTTATAAGGCTTTTCCAAGAATTGCTGTAAGTCTGAAAGGCACATGTAATGCTCCATTGATGGAATAGGAGGATGACAAAGCCATGCTTCCAGGTTAGCAAATAGGTATCAAAAGAGCTGCTTGTTGTGCATCTAGGAGTTTTGGACTGTATCTTTATTTATTGTGTTATTGCTGAAGTGCCTAGGTTTGTGACAGCTACCAGAAGCACAAGCTATATAGCATACTTTGGGCATACCGATAGCATGCTGATCCCCTCCTATGCCAAAGATTGCAGGAAAAGTGGCCTGCGAACATCTATGATTCTCTGTTGAGGGAACCATAACATTTCACTGATTTTTTTATGAAGAGCTGCCATGACAGAGAGAGGAAGTCAAAGCAAGGGAGACGGGCACATACAGAGAGAGCCCGACAAGATGAGGAGCACCAAGGCCTGGGGGGTTAAAGTTTCTGGAGAAAGTCCTAAAACTTCTTTTGACAGAACAGTCTTTCTAATAATCTAGAGGCCTTATTTGCCATATATACCTATATTCCCAGCAATGTTTAGATCATGTGCACGGAATCAAGAGTCAGATATTGCTGCTCTAAAAAAAGGAACAAATAGAATCTTTGATGGGAAATTCAGCTTGAAGGGCAAGAACAGAGAAGTATGGCAGATAGGAATATGAAAATAAGAAAAGAAGCCTCACCACAATTGTTACCTCTAAAATTGCTTAAAAAATAATACAAGAATAAAAACACACTCCGTAAACAGGTTTTGGTTATGTTAGCAGCACCTCAAATTTGGATTTTAAATCAAACAGGAAATATTCATTTGCTAATATTTCCTTCTTTAACTAAAGAACAGTTATTATCAGTAGGAAGAGAAAACATAACTTGAAGCCTACTGAACCAGAAGTGCGCTTTATATCATCAACATGCTCTTAAATCCCTGAAACTGAAAACTAGTCAGAAATGTGACAAAACTTGAACAGCACCTTAATCCTAGAGCTTCATGGACTTTGGAGTTACAAAACCCACTGCACATAAGTTAGCTTCCTCAAAGTCTGCTGATTACTGAAACACAGAGAATCCTGCAGCATGCTGGCTTGACTTCACCTGCCAAAGGACATCCTCATTCTATGGGCTGGTGCTCATAAAGCCAGCTGCTTGCCTACAAATAAGCAAAAATGAAGAAGCAGCAAGAGCACCTTTAAAAAGAAGCTGTGCTGAAAAAGTAGGCAAATGTCTAGAGACACTCAATGTCCCAACATACATATCTATGCAACTTTTAAAAACAAAATATATATAAAAATATATGCATAATAATACATTCATATGGTTAAAACCCCTGACCTCTCTCAACTGAGTAGTGACAGTACTTTAATTTGGGCATTTCTAAAAGTATACATTGTAAATGGGGCTGAAAAAATAAGGACATTACTTAGCATTTCTGAAAATACCAAGTACTAAATTTTGCATCTACAAATAAGAAATTATTCTTATTAAAAATTTTAGCCCAGAGATCCAGAACACAAATGTTAACAAGGACTATTAATGTCACCAAGAACTCAATGAAGAGAATTTCAACCAGCTTTCTAATTTTCAAAATTCCTATCAACATTATTCAGTTACTTGAAGGTTAAGAAAATATTACTAATATATACCTGATGGCAAAGCTAATGCATTATTATATTTGGTATGTTACAGGATATAGCTCTCCTCCTAGTGAAACATAACTAAAATACATTATATCCTATTTTCAACAGACTTCAAATATGTTTAATTTAGTTTTTTGTTAAAAAGTTACCATTCTTGATTCACAACATTTAAACATTTGTAAAATTAAAAAGATCAAAAATAAAATAAAAATAAAAAATATAAAAAGATAGTTAAGATTTTTTAAACATCTATAAAGTACGTGAAGTTTCAAACATAGCATATTGGAAACAGATCTTAATACATACTGCCTTTTCAAAAAAGCAACCTGAGGTCATCAAATACAACAGATTTCTGGATTTCACCTAAACCACAGTTTATTAAACATTTCTCTATCCTGGTCTACCTCAGGTTCAGTCATAGTTTATACAGGTGTGTGCACAATTCATCTGAATCCTAGAATTAACCAAATAGCAAGAAATGGCAGGTTAGATTTTTTTTCTTTAAAATAAAAATTATTGTAACAGGAAATTAACTACTCCATCAATGCTGACCACTTCAACAATTTATTCTTTGGTTATGAAGGTAATTTGGAAAGCTCCAATATCAATAAATCACTGCTGTACCTTTTCTTAAATAGTCTTCTATTTTTTAACAAGCCTCCTTCCTAGGCATTTCATATGCTTCATTTCTGTAGTATTATCTGTCATTTTTCATGTTCTGTCAGCAGTGCTGCTATCTCATTTGTCTCTATTTTTCCAAAACATTCCTCTTGTCTGTGACTTTCTCAAAACACTAATAGTTGACAGCTTTCCCCCTCCCTGTAGAGTTCTAACCTGTAATTTTTATTACGTAGTTACTAAAGCAGAACAAGAGGCTATCTAGATGCAATGTTTTTATAACAGGCAAGTGAATGAAAATCAAAGTAGTATCAGCAACAAGCCCAGCGATGACGGCCCCTTTGGAAACATTTGCAGCTTCTTATGATTTCAGCTCAGAGGATAACATTCGTATGTTTGCACTATGAGGAGTTCTGCTTGCAGACAGTTTTTTGGGAGGCTTGGCACCAGTGATCTCAGCAGGGGACACTTACATCATCTGCCAAGGCTGCTGCACCATGGAGTACGGGCACCGGGTTCTGTTTTTCATAATAATGCAGTTTTTCATGAATCTGGAAGACAATAGCACAAAGTGATAAGTTTATTTAGCAACACCACAAATGGTAGAAAATGACCCTGTCGAGCTAAGTGATCTGTTGAGTGTCTGTAACTAAAGAAACATCCTTATAGTAACCTACAGGCAGCATGTAAATGTAATTCATCATCATCCTCTGTTGAAGTGCTAAGAATATGAAATCAGATGGAAAAAATGCTCAGTATGTAGACCAACCCACAGAAAAACTAAACATTTGTGATTTTTCTCTCCTGGCTTTCTCTGTCCATGTTTCTAACATATTGCTCCAAGTATCAATTACATTTTATATTGCTGCTGAAAACACAAAGCATAAAGTGTTTATCCCCAAGATGGATATAAAAAACCCTGTAAATTATGATTTATGAAGTGAAATAATAGTCCGCCACCCACATCTTGACAGACAGCTTGGTGGCATGGCTGCCATCATTAAAATAATTCAGAAATAAGGGCAAACCAGTGCTAATATAGAATTCTAACACATCTGAAAGAAAAAGGCAGTCCTTCAGCAACTTGAAGTCACTGAGGAGCATTTAAAGTTTTTAATAAGGAGTTATCAACATTTAAAATGCAGTGTGCTTTTGGTCTTTCAAAAGGGAAAAGGATACACTACCATGTAAATACCCACCCTCTTCCCTCCTCCACAAGTTATGCACTTCAAAATATAGATTCTTCTAGTGTGAAAGCTTTAAAGAGCCAAAATATTTTAAAGCTTCTAACAAATTTCTCAAATGTTACTTCAGAATGGCACAAAGTACTACATTAAACACTCAATTTTATTATGCTATTTTCCTAAAGGCATGCAGATGTACAAATATTAATTAAAATATAAGAAAAGAAGACAACAGTAGTCTGAACTGATGCAAACACACCCCATTCTTCTATTTTCATTTCAGTTCCACTGCTCTGAAGGAGGCATGGACTCCAGATGGTTGGAGGAGTTGCAGAAGGAGCTAAATCAGGGACTTCTGTACTTGGCAAGGAAGGGAAAACTGGGTCTGGCAGAGGCTGCAGGGTGCAGAATTTGGCTGGGGAGTGCCATATGTCCTTGGGGGCAGGAACCCCAGTGGTACTCTAAATCTCCCCAGCTTGCTGCTGTGGGAGAAACAGGACAGGCAGCTAGGCCAGCTTTAAGAGCAAACAGACCAGTGGTCTTTGCATACTGAAAATGTTTGTAGTTGACTAGTTCATCACTGTTTTTCACTGGCTGATCCCTCCAGCCTTCCCCTTTCTTCCACATTTGCTTTTCTCCACTTATATTTACTCCTGGCAGAACTCACTCCTCTCACTGCCCAGGATTCCCTTAGCCTTCTCCCCAAATTTCCTTTGAATTTAAACTGGACTCCTAACAACTACACCCATCACAAGATAAAGCCATGTCAGTGAAACTTGTGCTTGCCATTTTTCCTGTCTTCTGTCATACTTCATTACACTTTCTAAGTCCATGTATGGTTTTACTCATTTAGACTATAGGTTCTTTGAAGTAAAAACAGAGTAATACTCTGTTAATGCAATGTGGCATAGCAAGACCTAAGTCTTCATCAATTCCTTCATCATTTCTGTTATCTTAGTAAGATTATTTCTATAGATCATTAGTTAAAGAATACCAAAGTTCTGAAACATCAAGATGAAGCATGAACACAACACTCAATTGCTAAGCTGTAAAATCATGTGTTCCAAACAGCAAGTTTTGCACCTCATCTGGAAACTAAATGCAGGGCACTATTATCTCCAGAACATGTCTGAACTTTACACAGCTTATGTAGACAATGTTTACTGAGCAAAGTAAGACTAATCCATACTGGATGTCACCAAAAGTGTAAGTGACTGGACAACTTCATATGTCTAACTCATAAAGCATAGTAACTAAATAAAGCAAGGAGCTGCAGCTCCCTGAATTTAGCAGAAATTTGTGATTTATTAAAGACTGTGAACTTGTATAACTAAAAGGCATAATAAATCAAAAGTCTGAAAACCTTGAGGTTTTTTTGATTGCTTTAGTCAGCATCTTGATTTTATCCAGGCTGAGCTTCCATCAACTCTGAGGTTAAAAGCAGTTGTCTATGTTATCTTCTGCCTTCTTACAGAATTATAAGTGTCACTGCTGAGGAAGCTGTTTTTAGCCTGGACAACCTGCAGTCAAATTAAAAGACCAAAACCAAGCAAACATTGAGACATTCTTGCATAACCTATCTTTGAAAAAAAAAAAAAAAATATATATATATATAGAAAATTGTACATGCACAATGGATGCAGTGCTTCAGCGCAATAGCTTCCTGAATGCACTAAGACAGGAGATTTGGTGCGATTCAACTGACAAAGCAAAAATTTTACTGAAACAAAAAAAAATGCCTTTTCAGGCAGCTTCTCTCCACATCTCTAAAAATGTGTTCCAAGATGTTTTGGTCTGTAATTTTCCTCACAAATCACAGTAAGGCTGACTGGCCTCTAGCTCCCCACATTGTATTTTGGCCTTTTTTGTAGACAGGTACAGCACTTACCTTTCCCTAGTCACTGGGGACTAGGTTGTTTCTGTTGCCTTTCAAGGATGACAGAGCACACTTACAAACTTATCTGGTGCCCTCTGAATTTCTCAGACTTCAGGGTGACAAATGACTGCATTTATGACAACCACCTCTAGAAAAACTATTGTGCACACAGCCGAATGTTTTGACGGCTACCCTTCATGTGGTCTTTCAGCTAATTATTTTACCGAATCTGAAATTTTAAAAATCATGCTAATATATGCACAACTAGCATTATATTTCCAAATTTATATTCTAAGTAGAAATTGATATTTAAATATATAGATTAAGTGACCACATTGATGAAAAGGAACACAGTGAGCTTGGCAAATGCACAGATGAAAAGGAAAACAGGATGAGGTGGTGCAAGTACTTTGCTCCTTTAAAAATCTTCCTCAATGAAATTAAACTGTAACAGAAATTAAAACCATCCTGAAACACTGAGAGAAATATGAGAGTGGATTCAAAGTAGCAGAAGAGAGAACATTTACTTACTCAGGATGAAACATTTCCTATTTGCAACCATTTGTTTGAGCTTCATTCTAAAGAATTCTATTTAATACAAGAGGCAAATTTATCTTATATTCTGTGGCTTTACTTATATTCTGTGTCAGGTAACTTTAATAGCATTGCCTTCTCTCTAACAGAAACGTGTGGAATGTATGGGGAATCTAGGACTGTATCATGCTTAAAAAATAAAAATATAGTACATCTGTTTTAAGTTCTGACATTCAAGTGTAAGGCTTGAACCCTGAAAAATCTCTTCACAGATGAGACCAAGTCTGTAAAAGCAAGAGTTATGTATTGTAAATAAAACATATAAAACTGTTCTGCTGAACAGATGACTAAGTTGCTGGGGTTTTGGGTTTTTATTATTTTTTTATGACTACCTATTCTTTTCACTATAAGGGTACTTTGGGAAGACATACAAGGTTCTCCAAAAACTGACAACCTACTGTGAAGATATGCCCCAAGAGGGAAAAATAATCATTTGCAAATTTATACAATTTTTGGCACATTTGTAGGCAAGGGAAATTGTTTCTGGATTTTCCCAGAGACTGAATTAAGCTTTCGCTAAGGAAGTATGGCACTAATATATTTTCTGCAGCATCCCCAGCCTGGATTCTTTAAGAACCCACAGGGAGTTTTCTGAGTCAGAAAACCAGAAATCTTAAGCAAAGAATTCTACAAAATAAGCCTAATTTCTCCTTTTGGATTTCTTAATTTCCAGGTACAATTCCAAAATCATACAGCTGAAAACAACACAGGATGGGCATAAGCATGTACACAGAATATCACCATCAGTTTCTAATACCCCAGCTCCTTCTGGGAAGGAATCCCCTTAATACAACAATAGTTTTATTATTATTTAGTGTGCTCTGGTACAGTTGTGAAAGCAGAATTTTTGTGAAAGGTTCTACAGAACAATACTACACACCTACAAACTACATACCTGGCTTCAGATAAGATACCTCCTATCAGTATTAAAATCCAAGATTTAACAGGCATTTTTTAGAAAGTTCACTTACAACGTTTCTGGACAGTTTAAAACAGTGCTCCAAAATGGGGTATTTTCATCATAATATGATGCCACCCAAGAAATGCACTGTATCAGACATGTTATCTCCTTTTTCTGAAGCTGAAAAAATACAGTCCTTAACTGCTTGATGTTCCTACAGCTTCATGCATAAGAACAGAATGGTTTTAAAGGAGATACTGAAAGCTTTGGCAAACAGAAAGTAGTTTCCTGCAACTGCTTTGGAAAAATAGTTTCCTATCAACGACACTGAGCTATACTAAAAATGCAGAAAACTGCTAGAATTAATGAAGTTTCAAATGTTCTGTACATCAAAGCAAAACAAATTTCCAAAACAGATATGGAACCCTAGTTATTAGACATAATTTTGAGATCTAAAAAGAACAATAAAACTCCTGTCTTTCAGTTTTTACAACCTTCTCCACTACTATCCCTGCTTCTCTATATCACATCAGCTTTGTCTTTCTGTCCTTTTTCCCCTCCTTTCCGGGGGAGGGGGAGAAGAAAGAAAAAAAGAAAAGGATTTTTCCAGCTTCCTTGCTTCCACTTTTTTTTTCTACTTTCTAACAAAAGATTATTGACAATCAAAACATTTAAGTCACCTGGAACTATCTTACTGCCCATATGCTTATATTCATATGAACATGCTCCGAGTATGTACTTAATGACTACACACCTCCATTATTTGAGCAAGCACTACGTCTAAATTTTATGTACACAATCAGTTGAAAGAAAGTTTACCTTCTTTCTTCCAGATTATTTTACTTGTTACATGGATTGATCAATCTAAATTTTAAGAGGAACTAGCAAAGAAAGCAAACCAAACAATCACGACTGTGAAGACATATTATGCTGCAGTAGTCAAGTGCAAGATTAAGAGACCAGGCCTTGTTTGAAAAGCCTATGCAAAAAGCACTG